CCACTCATTTAGACCTACCACTGCCAATGAGATCTGCAGATAAAACATCTTTGCAAATTGAAGGCTTCCAAGATGAATTAGAGCTGCCCAGAAGGAGTTAATTGAGAAGATGATATGGAAGAACGCTACAGCCTAGGTGATTCCACCCCACCCACCCCTCATTGACCTCCAAAGATATATTTTCAACAGAAAAACAATATGGGAGAGTATAAGTTTTAAAATTGCAACCCAGATCGTTCCTTCCTATTTGCTCTCCCGTCTGCCAATAGCCTATTTTTTCATTGTCCTGTGAAAATCAATGTGTTGATCAACTCTGCTCACAGATTCCTGTGGTTTCTTAAAAATAGAGCCTCGCCTTGCCTTTCCTGCCCCAAGGTCTCATATTCTCTTGAGTTTTTCTGCCTTCACTACAAAACTTCCCACCTGAGCTTTGTTACTGAGTGGACGTTCTAGGTCCTTTTCTATAGGAACACAGCCAAGTGTCCCATGCTGGATATCATTTGTGATGATTTGTTGACAGAGTGCTGAAAATAAGATTGTTTTTAGAAATCCTACTACCGTTCTGGAAAAATGGGATTCTGGGAGTGCAAATAATCTGTTTTTCTGGGTTGTGTAAGAGATTACTTCTTGCAAGCAAGGGCCTTGTTAAGATCTTCACCCTTCCCACCTTTTTCGTCATTGGAGCTGGGCTCGCTCTCTCTCTCTCTGGGTGGTGAGTCATAATTAAGGAAGCTGAAGCTGTAAAACTTGCTCACTTGTCTTTTCCGCTGTCCTTTTCACCTTTTCTTTTTGCTCTCCACCAAAAATGCTTGATTTCAAGAGGCAAAAACTCTCCATCCTTTCCTTTTGGAAGCTCCAGAGGGTTACTTGGCTAAGTGGAGAGCAAGACTTTGGGTCATCAGGTGCATCTGCAGAAAGTTCGCGATGAAGCATGCGGTCGATGTGCAGGAAATTATTCATCCCACACTCCCTTATTAGTGAAAACCAGAGGCTGGACAAATGCAAACAGAACCAGTTTAGTGCTGCAATAAAGTGCTTTTATGGAGGAAATGGAAAACGGTTGTGTTTTGCTGTCTTGTGGGGGAGTTTAGTCTTACTTCCCTCCTCCCTTGTAAGTGCTTTTCCATAGTTTTGAAAAAAATGTGGCAAGTAGAAGATCTCTTGGGAGAAAAATTGGGGGAAATGTTGTGGGCCTAGTCCTGCTTTCAAGGCTGTCCTTGAAATTCAGTGCACAGAGGTTGCAGGAGTCTGTCTGCTCACCTATGCCTCTGTTTGGTGTTGTACCACATGAGTAGTCAATTCCTTCCTTGTCCACCGGTGATCAGCCAATAAAACTCCTCACCAAATAGCAGGTTTTTGATAAGAAGTCAGGAATTCCTACAGATTGATGACCTGCTAAAGAACAGGGAGTAGGAATCCAGGGCAAAAGGTACGATCTGAAAAGAAAACGGGGTCATTGCAATCCTTGTTAGAAGTTGTTGGATCTGATCCCTGCCCAGACAAGAGTAGCTTCTGACATTCACGCTGCTTTGTTCGATTGCTTTTTTATGGTTTCTGCTCTTTGCTGAATTGTTTTCAAGAAACGTGTTTTGATTGTTATGGTAACTTTTGGTCTGTGACTATACAGCAAATAAATACATGAGCAATTTTCAAACTGGAGCAGGGTCCCCAAGGAATGGGCATTGTAAACAACGCTTCTGCATGTGTTCATAAACCTTCCGGAGTAACTGAAGAGCAGCGAGGTAGCCAAGTTTCCTGATGATACCAAATTGTTCAGTGCAGTGAAACCAAAAACAGATTGCAAAGAGCTTTACGAGAATCTCTCCAAACCTGAGCAAATGGATCTCAAGGTGGCAAACATAGTTCAGTGTAAACAAATGCAAAGGAGACATAAAACCTGATTTAAGTTAGCAGGGACTGTTCAGGATGTGAAAATGTCAACTCAAGAGTGTGGCTGCTGCAAAAAGACAAATTCCATATGTGGATTCATTCAGAATGGAAATGAAAATACTCAACAGAATAATGGCTTTATAGAAATCCACAGTGAGAGGCCACAGTTAACATACTGTGTACAGCACCGGTGACCACAGTCACCTGAAAAGGGACATTGTAATGCTGGGAAAAGTATATAAAAGAGCAACCAAAATTATTAGGAATGTAAGGCAACTCCGTTATGACTGCAGTATTTGGGGCTTCCTAGCTTAGACCGAAGGAAGTTAAGAGGTCTGTAAAGGCATGCAATGTAGAAAAAATGTGGACTGGGGGATGTTTTTCCTCTGTCTCTCAGAACATAACTTGGTTTACCCATTAAACTAAATCCAAGGAGATTCAGAACCGATAAACCTAACACAGGATGAAATGTGGAATTCACTTCCTTTAGAGATGAAGGCCACCAATTTAGACAGTTTTAAAGGGTGAATGGACCTTGTAGGATCAATAGCGACTCGTCTTAATAGCTATTGACTAGCTCCTGAATCATGCAGATCTTGACAGTGGAAGTGGGCAGTCGCTCTCCTGTCCCACACATGAACAGACCTGAAATTTATCTGGTTGGCGAGTGTGTGGCAGAGAAAGGTGGACTCCCACCTGATCCAGTCCAGTGGGCTCTGTTGACATTTTTGCCCTAGCCTGTCGATAAGCCTCATGAAGACCGCATCTGGGGGGTCCTCTCAGACAAACGGAACGAAATCTTCTCGCAAGCTTTCAGCATCATCTTTATTCCGGCTGCCTCTGCCTTCTCTGCTTGCAGGCCAGTGGGATGCTGTGAGCAGGGAGGCTGAAGGATGCTCTCAGGCCTTTCTCGAAGGCAGTTGCCCTCACTCTCCGCTGAGTTATGCGGCTTAGTTTGGGAATCTGGATGGCAAATTTCATTTCATGACAAGGTGGAAGATCCCCCCAGACCCAGGAGTGCTGCTCTGTTTGCAATAAGAACATTTTCTTAAATTAAAAAATGATGTCATTTCAGCAAAACAGGGCTATTTTTTTTTTTTTTTTAGAGAGCCACAGGAGGAAGTGCTGGCCTGGTTCATTCAACTTTTACTGAACCCTGCAGTACTTTAATATCAGGCATATTTAGTTCTTTCTCCCCTAGTTGGTAACAGGACTCTAAACTCTAAGGCAGCCCCCTGTCTGCCAGGTTGTTTTCATTGGGGAATTAGCATCCTCTGCTTCCCCTGCCTTATTTCACTTTGCTTCAGAGAGAGCTGAGAACGACATCCAGCATTCAAACTCCATCTTCTGGCCATCAGAGACCCAGGTGAGATGCCTCACCTTGCAGCCTTAGGATGCTACAGAAGGGGAAGAGAGAATTGGAGGCTCTTGGATCAAGAAGCTGGCATCGAATTGCAATTTGATGAAGCTGTATCATAAAATAGCCTGAGGCCAAGGATTGTACTGGAGACATTACCTGGTTGGCTTGGAATTCTCCCTGTGGAAGCTGGTGGACCCTTGTTACTTCCCAGTTTGTCCCCAAGGATACTCCCCTCTCTCTCGTCTGCATTTCGTTCGTGATCCAGCCCATGCTGCTTGGAGAGCAACCCACTCTAACCACACAGGCTCCATCTTGCTCGGCGCATGGCAGGAAGCCTTGTTTTTCCAGATCTCTGCTTGCCTAGACACAACACGTGGAGAGGAGGTGTTGGGGACATTTGTGTGGTTTGCTTTTTGCTTCTGGGAGGAACATCACTTTTTGCCACAGGAAGCAGGGTTGCTGACGTTGGCCCACAATGGTCTTCTGCATCCTTTCCTGAGCAGTGAAACAGGGGAGTTGCCAGTCAACCACCAGCATGGGAAAACATCCCAGTTGGCATCTCGTCCACCCCAAATGCAGAGTCAGTGAGCCAGAGAGGCTACTTAAGTGGTAGGTGAGGAAATAGTGAAGTAGGAGGTGGGGCCACTGGGTTCTGTTGTAGTTGGCACTGGTCTCAAGGCCCATTTTTTTGAGGCTGTGCTGGCACCTGGCACTGGCGGTTCTGATGCCAACAAAGAAGAGAAAGCAGAAGGAGGGAAAGCCATCTTGCTTAGCCCTGCTTGGGCACCGTGTCCTCCACAGAAGTTTCCAGACTAGCAATTTCTGAGACTTTGTGTACAACATGCTACATTGGGGTTGTGTGACAAGATATATGAATGAGTACAAGCACATGAAGTTAGGGAGGTTTTGATCTCAAGTATAATTATATATGTTTACACAAATCTCGGGAAAAAACCCATTGTTGTTAACAGTGTAAACGTGATGCTGACCAAGAGTCTGAAAATACATAAATTTTGACAATTTATGAAGAACTTTGGCTTTTTTGGATCAGCTCAGAAAATCATCCTCTGCAGGTGTAAAAAAGCGAGACTCCAGTGTCAACAAGGGGATTCAAGGGTCATGTTCTTTGGTGATTTTCTGAAGCGTCTTTATATTGCAAAAAGCCCAGATTTAATAAACTATTATAGGACTGAGCTGGTTGTATATTAATATTGTATGGATCCTTTTGTTAAGCGTTAGTTTACTTTTATCACTATTATATTTGTTTGCATCTTCCTACTGAATTGTTTTAGTTTTGTTTGCTGAAGTCACTAATAAAGGACAAATCAACAGGTGTACAAAGCCCCTGTAGCTTTGGGGTAGGGGGAAACATACCCCAAATAAACCTTAGTCAACTGTGTTGTAGGCTTGGTAGCGGTTCGGTTGTTCCTTGAGAATAAGATCATAGAAGATCATAAGACCCTAGTCTTTCTTGCAAGCAGTCCTGCTTCTCTTTCCCCCAGCCCCAGTGCATTTCTAGTTCTGGTCCATCTGGAGATCAAGTGAATGACTAGCTGACTTGTTTTGGAGTATCAGCTTCTGAAATTATTTTAAGAATACTTCTAATAACGGTAGTTATTTTAATATTTGTTATTTTATCTCTTTAATCTTAATTTTTAATGATTTACCACAACCCTCCATGGCAAACGAAGACTCCGTAGCCAAGTCTTGTCTTCTCAAAAACTTTTTCATCTTTTCTCTCAAAATTCAGGTCGCTGGATGGTCGGCTGCAGGTATCCCATCGAAAGGGTCTCCCGCATGTCATCTATTGCCGGCTGTGGCGGTGGCCAGATCTTCATAGCCACCATGAACTGCGTGCCATGGAAATGTGCGAATACGCATTCAACATGAAAAAGGATGAAGTCTGTGTGAATCCATATCACTACCAGAGAGTGGAAACGCCAGGTAGGGCAAACCCAGAGGTGCCTAGGGGAGGGGCGAGAGAGTAGGGGTCTCGTTGTCAGAAACCTGGCAGCGTAAAGCTGGGCTGCATCTGTGACTGGCTGCTTTTATCTTCAGTACTACCTCCAGTGTTGGTACCACGACATGCGGAAATTCCAGCTGAGTTCCCTCCTCTTGACGATTACAGCCATTCCATTCCTGAGAACACGAATTTCCCAGCTGGCATTGAGCCTCAGAGCAACTACATTCCAGGTATGGCATCCCCAGGAAGAAGAGAGAGTGGGAAGGGGCTTCCTTTCAGACCCCAGGAACTTATCTTCACTTTGCCTCTGAGAGGTTCAGGCCTTCTCACACTTAGCACGCAAAGAAGGAAAATGGCATCTCTCTTTCTCTCTCTCTTCTTTGCTGTGTTACCCATTGAGTAAAGGTGTGTAGGGGAAGATGCCTTTGAAAAACATCGACAGACCATCCTACTCCAGGACCTTTGCCTGGTTACCAACACCCCCAAGTTCTGTTTCTTTCCAGCCCTCACCCTCGGATATGCCTCTCCTATTGCCTGCTAGGTGCCACATCTGTTAGCGAGAAGCGCTGACTGCTTATTTCACAACCAGGTTGTAAGAAAGAGTTGGATTATAAAGCCCCCTTTTTTTTTAAGATTTGCAAAGACAAAGCCTTAAACCCTGGATTTGGATCAGAGTCGCTTAGTCCTTTGTGCTCACATCTGATCATTCCTCCTCTTCTGGATCTCTCCAGCCGTTATGTTTTGCAGAAAAGGACACGTCTCACCTAGGAAAAAGCCTTCTCCTGTGTGGCCCCAACCTGCAGAATCCCCCGGAGCCCTACTGACTTCTCCTCTCTTCTCCTCTTAGAAAAGCAGCCAAGATGCATCTCTCTTGCCAGGCTTTTAACAATTCATTAATATTCCGGATACTTGGTATTTGGATTTTTGTTGGCCACCTTGGGCCCTTGGTCGAATAGCAAACAAATGGGAAGTCTTATAAATAGGTCAATGCTCTTGAGAACTGTGTGGCTTTTGTAAAGCTCTGTTTTAATTTTCCTCCCCCTCTTCAGAGACGCCGCCTCCCGGGTATCTGAGCGAGGATGGAGAAACCAGTGACCATCAAATGAACCACAGTTTGGATGCAGGTAAATCCCAACCAAAATGATTTTGTGGCTTTAAAAGAATTGTCCTCTTCTCTCTGACCGGGTCTTGAAAACTCATCCCATCATTGGGAACATTCCTTCCTTCTCCCTCTTCTGTGATCTTGCCTCCTCCCACCACCCTTTCCCCCCCTTGGTCTGAATAATTCTATCCTTCTGCGCCCAAGAGCTGTTTTTCCTGCTGCGGCTGATGAGGAAAGCAACAGTCCTGGGTGAAACACAGCCAAGCAGAGGGGAGTTGCACCTCAAGCAGGGGTTAACGGGCTTCTTAGCTAGGCAGTGGGCAATTCTTCACTGGCCAAAGCAGCACTTTCTAAAGAAGAATATTGGCCTGTGAGAGCCACAGGGAGGGGGTGTGTCAGAGGCAGCTCATGTCTGGGGAGAACAGCATTGTACTGTGGGTGTAAGCCATGAAACATGAGAATTGTCTCTTAAAATAGCTATTTATAATCAGAAGTGACTGAATGGGAGCATTAAACCCAATTCTTCCTCTCTCCCTGATTTGTTCCATCTTTGTCAGCTGCAATTCTCCAAAAGAAAATGGAGAAGTCTGTAAGATAAATAGACACAATTTAGAGTGAAAAACTACTCCTTGAATTTGTTTGAACCTTCTGAAGGTGAACAGTGAAAGTTGTTGTATCCTGTTGCAAGGCTGAGTTAGAGAAGGTAGTGAAGGTTTGATTTCTGCAACGTTCACCCTGTCTAGTGAAATCTGGACTTGCTGGGGGAAGCAACAGCATTTCAGATCACTTTTTAGACTCTAGAACTGAAACATCAAATTTCCTTGAGGAAGTCTTGTGGAGCTTAATAAGACCTGCCCTTAAAACTAAGCCAAGCTGTCATTGTCTGAACTCGTATGTTGCACCAAAACACAAGGTTTGACTTTGGTTCAGCATGTGAACCCAATTCCTGTGGTTTATTCAACAGGTCACAATTATGCAAGCTCTGGCTTAGTGCAGTGTGTGATCCTCCTCATATTCTATCTCAGAGTTACTTATCATCCTTGTATTTCCTTCTGCCCTGCCAGGTTCTCCAAATTTATCTCCAAATCCGATGTCCCCTGCACACAATAATCTGGGTAAGCGTCATATTATGTGGAGCTCTTTGAGGGTCGTGTTCAAGTGACGTATCCTAAGTGGGAAGCCTAGGAGGAGAAAGCAACAGTAAACCAGGGTGCTGCAGAACTGTGACTTGAATTAGGAACCCTTGTGAAAAGAAGACTCTGCTCTTGCTCAAAACTTAGCATTCTCAATCCACTTTCACTACCAGTTAATAGATTTATCAGGTTGTACTTTGTCTTGAAGTTCTGCCACCTGTTTCTCTCTGGGACAAGCAGAATATGCATATCCTAAGGAAGCAATCCTCTCTGAGATCATTTCCAGTTCTCTTAAAAACTATTTTGGTTCCCGATTAAGAAAACAGATGTGCGGCCACAAGCCAGCCCTTGAATCCTGCATGAATATGATTTAAGCAACAAATGTCTTGTGGCGTTTAGCTCATTCTTGTCAACACCGATTGACAAGAGGCTTGCGGACACAATAACATTTCTCTCAACTCGGCTCGGCTTGGAGATGCTGCAGGTTGAACCTCTTCCTGACTGCAGTCCGAGCACCTGATCCACTGCCGGGATGTATTTTTGGCAAATCTGGGAGTCGTTGTCATTTCCAATTATAACCCAATGTTGGGTCATCCAGTGAAACTCAAGGATTCAAGGCAGATGCACTGATGCTCTTCACACAGTGCAGAGCTAAACTATGGAATTCATTATCTCAAAAGGTGGTGATGGCTAACATCTTCGATGGCTTTAAAAGAGAATTACGAACAATTAATGGAGAACAGAGCTGATTGGTGGCTGGTCATTCTGATGTCTTTCCATTGCTTCAGCACCAGCATCAGTAGCAATTTGCCTTTTGCACCAGGTGCTGAAAACTCATGTATTTTGCTGAAATATCCTTGGTCTCAGCTTCCCAGAGGCATCTGGCCAGAGCAGAAGCAAAAGCTGTACTACAGGTCTGATCCACCACCCTTTTCATATGCCTATTCTGGTTAGCAGCAGTTATCTCCAAACCTTGTTTTTGGACAAGGTTGTAACGCACCATCACCCTGCAATTTTGCAGCAGGTCCAAGCTGCATCATAAGCCAGCTGTAATCATCCCAGTGCTGAATAACCAGCAACCTCTCTGGGGAGGGGTGAAAACTGTCAAGATGGTGGCCACTGCAGTGTGATTGAAGCCTCTTTCCTTTCCTTGTGCACATATAAAAGGGGTGGTCTTGACCTGCCTGACGTCCCTCTCCCCTCCCTTGCCACTGTGAACAGCATATTTGGGTTTCCCAGAACATCCCTTTCCTAGACCAGTACATTTTGCACGTTGCTAATAATAAGCCAGAAAGTGGCTTGCTTGAATTTGACTTCACATTTTGTGTGAATCTGGCCATTACAGTTTGCCAACCAAGTTTTCTATTTTCTATTTTAAAGCATAATGTAAACCCTACAACTGTGGTTTATTCAACAAACCATGGTTTAGCCAACAGTGGCTCAGGAGAGTATACACTGAATTTCTAGCTTTGTGGAGGGATACCTTTAGAACTGAGTATAGCATGTAATAGGCGGAAGAACTGCTTGTAATGCAACCCTTCCTCCTCCTGGATCTTCCTGGACTCCTCGAAGAACTAGAAATACATATTTTTACGCAGCTAGCAAAGCGGTTACTCTGAGAAGAAGCAAACTTTATCCTTCCCACCTTTTTTCTTGCAGATCTCCAGCCGGTCACCTATTGTGAACCGGCCTTCTGGTGCTCCATTTCCTATTATGAGCTCAACCAGCGAGTTGGAGAGACATTCCACGCGTCTCAGCCCTCCATGACCGTGGATGGCTTCACCGACCCATCCAATTCGGAGCGCTTCTGCCTTGGCTTGCTTTCGAACGTAAACCGCAATGCGGCCGTGGAGCTCACCAGGCGGCACATCGGTAACGTCTGTTGCCTTGTTTTGGGGTAGGGGTCAGAGAGAGTGGTTGAAGTGGACTTCAGGTCCCTGCCTGAACACTGAACTTGGCCAGGAATAGCTTAGCCCGCAGCTGCATGCAACACACGCAGCTCCTTTGCTTACGTTAAATCAGAGTTTCTCAACCTTGGCAACTTTAAGACGGGTGGACTTCAACTCCCAGAATTCC